CTGGTGGGGACTTAAACCTGACTACACACAGACTCATGGGGACTCAAATTGTGGTCCCCACGGTTACAAAAGCTTATAAATCATACAGAATGAAGTTTTTTGAAAATCTGTGCATGCACAAAGTTTCCTGTAAGGGGTAGGTTTAGGTGTAGGGTTGGTGTAGGGCAATAGAAAATACGGTCTGTACAGTATAAAAACCATTACGCCTATGGAGAGTCCCCACAAGGATAGCAAACCAGACGTGTGTGTGTGTGTGTGTGGGGGGGGGATTTTTTTTGTTGTGCTTTTCATATCACCATAATTTCTCTGTTGATTGATTAGATTAAGAATTGCAAACTTTTTTTGTATTACACATTTTCTGAAAATGTTGTTTAACAACGGAAATGAGACATTGTCTAATTAAATATGAACTTATTTGCATACGTTTCCAGACCAGAAATCTGAACACTGGTTAAAGTTCAAGTCAAAGTCAAACGTTTTTACAGAGGGGATTTTGGAAATATATTTTTATCACTCCATATATCAGACAATTATGGAAGCTTGTTTCCACCAAGGAATAAATAATAATAATAATAAATTATTTTATTGTGATGTTTTATTTCACAGTTCTGACTTTTTTCTTGCCATTCTGACTTTCTTTCTCACAATTTTGACTTTTTTTCTCAGAATTCTGAGTTTATATCACAGTTTAGACGTTGTTTATCACAATTTTTGTTTTTTGTTTCCGTTACAGAATAAAAAAAAATAAAAAATTTTTTAGATTAAGAATTGCAAACTTTTTTTGTATTACACATTTTCTGAAAATGTTGTTTAACAACGGAAATGAGACATTGTCTAATTAAATATGAACTTATTTGCATACGTTTCCAGACCAGAAATCTGAACACTGGTTAAAGTTCAAGTCAAACTCAAACGTTTTTACAGAGGGGATTTTGGAAATATATTTTTATCACTCCATATATCAGACAATTATGGAAGCTTGTTTCCACCAAGGAATAAATAATAATAATAATAAATTATTTTATTGTGATGTTTTATTTCACAGTTCTGACTTTTTTCTTACCATTCTGACTTTCTTTCTCACAATTTTGACTTTTTTTCTCAGAATTCTGAGTTTATATCACAGTTTAGACGTTGTTTATCACAATTCTGAGAATTATAACATGTGAACTCAGAATTCTGACTTTCTTTTGTGCAATTCTGACATTTTCATTGAATTCCGAGTTTACATCTTGCAGATCTTTTGTTTTTTGTTTCCGCTACAGAATAAAAAATCAAAAAAATATTTTTGATCTCACTGTTTATCTTTATCAATTGCAAGAAAAAAAGTCTGAATTGTGAGATATAAAGAAAAAGTATGATTACCATTTTTTTTTAATTTTTTTATTATCATTATTTTTTATCCTGTGGCAGCAAGCAAGCTTCCATAGAAAAAACTCAACAGCCAGAAAAAAAAAAAAAAAATTGTTTTTAGGAATAAAGTGTTTAAAATCAGGCAGATGATATATGAACATACCCCTCAGTGCTCCTAATTTCGTTGTATGCAGAAAAATACAATGACAATAAAGGCGTTCAATTCAATTCAATTCAATTCAAACATACCCCTCAATAAAACTGTTCAGAATATAGATAAGATTAAAACTGTAAAGTTTGGTGAATGTAAATGCTGCTGAAGTGACAATTTCTCCGAAATACAAACAAACTGAGAAACGGCCTTAAAAGGTATGTATTGTAATTGAAAACTAAAGATGTGAATAGATAATTAGCAATAAAATAACCACTTAAAAATGTACTTAGGATGTTTCGTTTCCACTAGTCTGAAACAACATGTTATGAAAAGCCAAATAGCTTCAAAAATCTCAAAATTGACCAGTGCATGAAAAAACAACAAAATGTTTTTACCTGTAGTATCTTGCCTTAATTATATATTTAACTAATTTATTTCTATTTTTGAGTCACCTCTCCACCATTTAGAATTTTTTTTGCTGAGCTAGCAAAACATTAGCTTTTGACATTGCCTACTTACAAAAGGTGATGTACATCTAGCCAAAATAAGGCTTATAAAGCAGCTTTATTTTGCTACCTACTGTTTGGGACGTCCTGCTTCCACCCGGTCTGATGTGCTGACATCTCTAAAAATTAAGTGCCTACACTTTGTTACTTTTAAAAGTAAAAGTTCTTTATTGCCACTGATGGATGCATGACGAACCTTTTAATTGCACAAAGGGTTCCTCAACGTGGCTAAGTAACTAAGAAAGAACTGTTCACTTATAGGCTCTTTGTAGAACCCAGGTTCTATAGCATCACTGCAAAAAAATAAAAAAATAAAC